ATACATATTGATGTCCTTATGCTGTGTAGCAAGTTTTAGCTGATTCCAACTTCAATTTTTCAAGTTACAGCCATTTTAAGAAAATGCCAAAATTCTGAAAAATACCCAAGGCTATAGCCCATGGTTTTTTCCAAAAAATGGCTCCAAAATCACCCCAAATTTTTATTTTGTTTTTTTATGCATATTGATGTCCTTATGCTGTGTAGAAAGTTTGAGCTGATTCCGACTTCAATTTTTCAAGTTATGGCCATTTTAAGAAAATGTTAAAATTCTGAAAAATACCCTGTACTATATTGGATGGTCTTATTAATTAGTGTCCCTCCCTCCCTCTCTCCTACAGATTGCTAAGATAAGAAGTGGTCATGGTTTTGTTGCTATGAAGGACTCATACAAACCATACAGGTACATGTACATGTATTTTTAGTATACATGCATGTACATATACATATACATGTAATGTACGTACATGTACATGTATTACTGTTGTTCTTGTTACTATTTTTAGACACTTGGAATTCCTCACATATTCTAATATTAGATCAGTCATTGATTTCACAGACAGTGAAGGTAAATAAATGTTGATGATTTATTTGTTTGTTTATTTATTTATTTTATTAGATGTTGTTAATGGTTTTGGTCTGTTAGTCCATTGGTCTGATGATCCTCAGGAGAGATTATTAACTTTTAAAATTAACGGAGACTCATCAATTAAAACAGAACTAATTAATAAAATATCTCAAATGATGTGTACCAGTAACTGTGCCCCATCTCCAGTGAGTGTAGGGACATTATTAAGATTAAAGCACGGGCTATAGTACAGGGGGTTTTTGGAAAATTTGGCATTTTAACTGCCAAAATTAAAACCAGCCATTTTGAGCCATTACATGTATGTACATTGTACATGCTCAATGGCACATGGACACAAATTTGCCAAATTAAAATTTGCCAATCATAAAAACTTTAGTAGTCTTCCAAAATTTTACCCCCTCCCCCAATTTTCAGCTATACAGTAATCTATTCCTAAAATGCTCATAACTCAAAAACTGCTCAA